AAGAAGAGCATATCGTCAATACGAAAAGCATTGTACCGGAACTTCTCGGTGGTTCCTGTGCGGAACTTCATTAGCGGTGGAGGAAGGAAGGATGTCCCTCATGGAGATGATGGCTGCAGAGAGGCGGTAGAAGGGCTTAGGGAAGATTGTGAGAGCAATGTGCAGTGGGCCTTAGGGAAGGCGGGTGAGGATCGGGTGCATGTGGTTGTATCGGAGGAGTTAGGCTGGTTGTTTGTCGGAATTTACGATGGATTCAATGGACCTGATGCACCTGAATTTTTGATGAGTCATTTGTACAAAGCCATGTATAAGGAATTAGAGGGTTTGTTTTGGGACACAGAGGATGTAGCTGCAGCTTCAGAAAACGCAGATGCTGTGGCGAATTTGTATCCGTCGGATGTTAATACAGACAATCACCAAGAGTTTAGAGATATGAAAGAAGGTGAAGCGAAATCACAGGTAGTTAAAAAGGTGGTGTTTGGAGGGGAACAAATCGAGATTAGAAGAAGGAGATTATGGGAATTCTTGGTGGAGGATGAAACAGAAGATGGGCTTGATCTATCAGGCTCAGAAAGATTTGCATTCTCGGTTGATGATGCATTGAGCGTGAACAATGCTGGTTCAGCCGTGAGTAGGAGGTCTTTATTGTTGTCGAAGCTGAAACACGGATTGTTGAATAGGCATAAGGATAAGGATAAGGAGGGTAAAAGGTTATTCCCTTGGAGATTTTGGTTGGAGGGGAAACATAAAGCAGCGGAGGAAATGATGGAGAGTAATGAACCAGACGATGGTGAGATTGAGAGGGAGATAATTAGTACAACTGGTAGGAGGCGAAAGGTAGGGTCAGTTGATCACGAGTTGGTTTTAAGTGCCATGTCTAGAGCGCTTGAAGTGACTGAACAAGCATACTTGGATATGACCGACAGAGTTCTTGATCGATACCCAGAGCTTGCGTTGATGGGTTCTTGCTTGTTGGTTGCATTGATGAGGGATGAAGATGTATATGTAATGAATGTTGGAGATAGCCGAGCCATTGTGGCACAGTACGAGCCTGAAGAAGGAATATGTGGTTCAGAATCACAAGGTGCTGGGAATGATGAGGGCATAGTTGAAGAGTCAGCTGGTGTTAGTGAGAGGGAGAGTAAAGCAGTGAATGAAGCTCATGCTCATCGATTTATGAGTTTGACTGCATTGCAGTTGTCCACTGACCATAGCACAAGCATAGAAGAGGTAAATTTTGCAGTTCTGTGTTCATCTTTTGTGCATAGAAAATCGAGGAACTTTTCATGATCTAATATCTACAATTGGCTTTAAGTCTATGAACATGGGCATAATATTATTAACTAACTATCTTGAGTAAGGATGGTTTGAATTCATGTTTGTGGCTTTCACTTAACATGAAGAAGATATCTTTAGTAAACTGAAACCATAGGGATCTCTATCCTCTGGATCTTCTTCACTATTTTTTATCACGGGAACGTCCTTTTTTTTAATCTAAGCTGATTGTTTAACTCTCTGTCCAATGAAAATGAATTTAGTACACTTCTCTTGGCTTAATGCTTAACTTATAATTTTATTATATACACTATACCATTTACTCGTTTGTGTTTGTTTCTTCAAACGTAATATAGAAATCCAAATGGCAATCTCTAAATTAATTGATGAAGTTTGGAAGTGAGAAGTACTTCTCCACTTCCCTTTCTCTTTCTTTTTGTTAAGTTTGACTTGTTCATTGACCTTACATATATTAATTTAGTATGCCATTGCATTTTATTCTTTTATCTCCATCGCAATTTGCCATGCTTTTTCAAGTTTAGTCTGTCTATGCCGGTGTGTTCTTGGAAGTGGCAATCACGAAACAAGTAAGAGGTACCTGTGGTACATATCCGTCCATGTTGCATGTTGTCCAACGCTTAGATCCATCTCTGGCTTGAATTTTGTCCTAGAATTATTTATGGTACCCTGCATAGAATGCTTCAGCATCACCTCTCTATGTTCTTGTGTTATTCCTAGGACCCTTTATGTATAAGACTTTGACATAAAGCTTTCCATTGTAAGCTTACCTCCATGTTTACAGTTCTTGCTTTGACTTGAGATACATAAAAGAGTTTTGGAATGTAAGTTTTTAAGGATCATGGCAATGCTTTAGTAGATTAAGATGATTATGAGCTGATGAAAAGAGTTTTAGAGTTCTTCAACTCATAAGAAACTTCCTTAAATATAATTTGTTGTGTACTTGTCTCTGTTCCTTGTCTTTGTTGAAGTGATTGTACTTTGAAGATTTTCCAATTTACAGTAATGTATTTTAAGGTTCCAGAAGATGTATTGGTTTTCAGTTTTTGTTGTAAGCTAGGCTACTTGGTTATTCAAGTTTTATTTGGCGGCCTTATCCATCTACAAATGCCCTTGAAATTATGCATGCAACACTTTTTAGTTGAGATCTAATTCTTTCACTTGAATGAGAATGCTTTGGGAGCTGTCTATTTTCTTGAAAGAAATTGTTGTACACTTCTGACTTCTGAGTCATTGTTCAAAGAAATACCCATGGAATGCGGCTGCAGTAGACACACGATATCTGATATTAGTTCAAAGATGATGAACTAAATGGATCGTTTGTCAAATTGAGTGTAGGGATAAGATATTGTTTTCTGCGAGTATACACTGTAGCAATGAATTATGAGGTACTTCAGAATTCAGATATGAAATTTTGATAGTAATATAGATCTATAATGGTTTTGGAGAGCATTAGCAATAAAGTATAAAACTGCAGTATATACTTGTCTGGTACGTATTAGCACTGTTCCAGTTTATAATTCCTCATAAGAGTATACTGATATTATTAACGAATAGCACATATAAAACTGACCCGTACAATGAAGTGTAATGTACTTGTGTTTGTCGGAAATAACATTTCTTTCAGAGCATATTTTGTTTGATCTGTCTTATTCTTGCATCATGTATCAATCGAAACTAGTAGTAGTTTGGATTAGGAAGGATATAAGGATGCCTCTGAAGTTCTTAAATTCAGCATCTAAAAGTCCTGTTATGTAATAAATTCTGGCTTTCAAAATCACCATGAATGTTCTAGAGCTTTTAGCCTTTGTATATTTTGCTTTGTCTTTCCTCTCTATGCCTATGTTTGTAGTATTTGTTTTGGATGTGTTTTTCGTAGTGATGTTCAATTGCTTAATAAACCTTCACCTTTTTACTTATTCATTCACTTCTTATCTTAATCATTTTCAGGAAGTTATTCGAATCAAGAATGAGCACCCAGATGACAGAAATTGTATAGTGAACGATAGAGTTAAAGGCCGTCTCAAAGTTACCCGAGCATTTGGAGCTGGATTCCTTAAACAGGTATTTCCGAATCATTAATGACGTATACCTCTCTTTTATATATGTGAAGACATCTTTGGCCCCTTTGGTTTTCTGTTTGTGGTAAACTTTTATCAACTAAGATACATTATATTTATGATAATTTGATCCTAGTAAAGAGGTTTAGTCACTTATCCTTCTGCATTCGTATGGGCTATGAGTTTTAGGCAAAAATAATTCTCAGGTAGCTTTATCTTTTACTTTCTTGTACAATGTTCGGATTTGGGGAATATGTTCTGTGGGAAGATGCTCTTATGAAGCTTGTTTTGGGATGGTGCATTTAGAAATGCAAAAGGAAAGATGATATATATTGTAATAGTGCAGTAGTCTGGATAATGTATATTCATGCTGATATAATCCTATGGGGGGAGAATAGATTTGTTCTGGCGAGTTGTTTATAAAACGGGTTATCATTTCAGACAACGAAAGCTCTTACGGACTAAAACAAACATGGAGGCATTTCAGATTCTTGTATTCTAAAATAATTGAACTCTTCTTGCAAAGATTGTTATTATCATATTTCTTGAACATGGTCTGCGGCAGTTGAACTGGAGGATCGAGCATGTTTTGGTTCCAGTAAATATTGGTTCATTAAACCGTAAAAATTGGTTCGTTAAACCAGCCTGAAAAATCACCATCTCTTGATTAGAGCATCATTCAAACATAGCCCAAAGACATTTGGACTGCATACTGTGTTTTCTATGCCTCTTCATCTTAAATTTCACTTGGCGTCTATTCAGTTCTTCGTCACGGTTACTACCTCGGTTTTGTAGCTTCTGTTATGTTAATTTGCTTACTCAAATGGACTGTATACTGTTTTAACATCTGCAATGTACTTTGCCAATTTCTCCTTCATTTTTGTTATTTAGGTGTTGCCAGTGTAGCTAATATTTGTAATACTTGTTGATGCAGCATAAGTGGAATGATGTATTGTTAGAAATGTTTCGGAACGATTACATTGGTACTGCACCGTACCTATCGTGTTCACCTTCTCTTCGTCACCACAAACTGTCACCCGGAGATCAATTTTTGGTGCTTTCATCTGATGGATTGTATCAGTATTTTAGCAATCAAGAAGTGGTTTCCCATGTGCAGAATTTCATGGAGAGGTTCCCTGATGGAGACCCTGCTCAGCACCTCATAGAGGAGCTTCTTTTCCGTGCTGCCAGAAAAGCTGGTAACCTTTTTCACCTTAAAAATTTATGAAAGATGATCAGTAAAACCTACTTTAACTGGACTTGGTAATCGATACTATGTGCATATAATACCGGGTTGTGCGTGCCTGAAACTGGGTTGTGCGTGCCTGTTTGCAGTGTAGAGCTGCTTGAAGTGGGGTACTTATTTTACATGTCCTACATGTCGTAGTTATTTGAGTTCATAATCTGTTGTTCTCTTCTAACTCAAGAACAAAATATGTGACCTAGTACGGTTTCTAAAACCAATCCTTATTAGGAGAGTTAGTACCTAGCCTTCCCCTACTTCCCCATTTGTAACAGGATTTAAAAATTTCTATCAGAAAAAAAAAACCTAGTACGGTATCTAAGACTATCTCTGGAATGTTTGCTGAATTCTTTTGGCCAACAAAGGGTGTTTGTTTCACCACAAAAAAAAAATGTTTTTAAGGGTTTTTGTTAAGCATTTCATTTCGATTTAGGAGTTGAGATTTGGATATCATCAAAACTAGTGTGTAGAGTCATGATTTGACGGCTACTGTACAAAAAATTCCCTCTCGATTTACAAATCAAAATAAAAACAAAGAATTGCTTCTCCATCAAATTATTTTCAGCAAATACAACTCCGGAGACATAGCCTAAAGGAGTAATATCATGGGTGACAGATCTCAGAAGAAGTTTTTTGTGTAATGCTTGTCTAGAAACTGAATAAGACCGATTTAAGAGGCACATCACTTGTCATATCAATTTTTCTTTTCGTTCTTTTCTTTAACTTGGCCTTATAGGATAGCCTGAAGGACAAGATTGTTAGTTTTCTCATTTGAAAAATTTTCGGTTTGAGCATTTCCGTTGCTTCTCTTGGTAATGAGAGAAATAACTTTCTTTTTTGCAAATAAAAGGAAAATTATTGAAAGAAAAGATGTGATGTAGGTGCAGTGCGTATATGTGTATAATTCAAGAGAACTCAGAATTTTCTCATGTGAAATATTTTGGTTTTGAGCATATTTTTTATTTTATTGTTAGCAGCCCAATATATCAAACTTCACCATTGATTTTACTGTTATCTAGTTAATTAATCTATTAGACATATATATATTTTTTTAAAGTTTGATATCCATGTGAGTTGTGAGGACTAACGGTTGGATTTGCAGGAATGGATTTTCATGAGCTTCTGGACATTCCACAAGGAGACCGTCGAAAGTACCATGACGATGTTACTGTAATGGTGGTATCTCTTGAAGGAAGAATCTGGAAGTCCTCAGGAAAGTACCTTTGAGCATTCGGCACAACTAAAGCTATGCCTTTCTTTTTTATTCACTCTGCACAAAGCTGGAGCAGTGGTTTCTATCACCTGATGTGATTTGCAAGCAGTTAGATATTTATTGGACGACCGACTTTCTGGATATATATATCGAGAGAGAGAGAGAGAGAGGATTATTCATCTCTATAATATGCCATACGCGAAGGGAAACCAATCATACATGATGATTGGCAACAAGTTGTTACAAAAACTCTGCTCATGTTCAATGCTTGCAAAATGGTAAGGGAAATGAAAATGTTTCCGGAAATAGGAAATTTTTGTAGTTGCTGTTGTAAACTTGTTTTAGGCAGGAAAAATGGACCTATATTATTTTGTTACTTTTTTTTCCGAAGATGGGGAGAGCCTTGTCATTCGTTTGTTCATCATTGGGGGTTAGGGAGTGAAGGGGGAGGAGGTTAGTAGTTTTTTGAGCTTTAACACCTTCGTTATTGAAGGTGAAATTTGTAATTCTGAATTTCCAATGTCCTTTAGAAAAAAAAGTATTTAATCTTGAAGCTGCTACATTCTTTATGATAATATTAAGAAACATGATTAAAACCTGAGGGATGTCATCAAACTTTCGAAGCCAAAATATTTTACACTGAACTTATTATGATGTAGGTTTACACGCATGTATATATACATCGTGTCTCATATTAGACAATTTTATATCAATTGACTCACATTCAAATCCCATTGTCAACGGTCGTTAGGTGGAGTTTGTCACACGTAGTTAGCCTAGTGCGGTTTACGTCTCTCGTTATGGTTTGCAAACTATTATACGGAATTGTAAATTTACCCAGTGCACCTATATAGTTGGCTGCAGATTTCTTCATTAAAAAACAAAAGGGTTTTACGGTTTTACAATCTATTATACCTTGGTAGGCACGGTCCAACATATTTGGAGGCTCAGGGCTAAATAATAAAATGTTACAGAGGTTCGGTGGCAGCGACCCCTATTTTTTTCGTTATTGATTCGGTAAGAACAAATCTTTCAGTCCATCAAGGAGAATGGCCCAATAAGGGCCTAACAGGGAGACTCTCGTAAGAAAGTCAACTTGGTCAAACAAACCCATATGGATAATCTAGCCAACTATATAGCTCGGGAGATGAAAGGCGAGAGGAGGGAGACTGTCGCTGGGCGAAGAAGATAGCACAACCTCTTGTAAGCGAGGTACTCTGATGCAGCTGCCTTCACATTTAATGCCCATCTTCTCATATGTCAGGAGGTTAGGGAATGTGCAGTTTTTGGCATTGGACATAATAAACTGAAGTAAAGTCCGGATTCGAATCCGGACTGTTTCTATAAATAGAGAAAGGCCAGGTAAACAGAGGTAAGAACACACAATTTCAGAAAAACTCATTACTAACGAGAGCATCCTAAAATAGAAAGATATTCTGATTTGGCGGTCGGAGTGCTAACTCCGGCATAAGCCCGATTTTCCTTTTCTTGTCTTATTACAGGTCCTAACATAGAAGGAGAACCCAACCAAAACAACATCAAGGATTCAACTAAATCAGTGATATATTATGTCATGTGCATACATATTATCAATAGAAACCTCATTGCTAATAAAAGAAAAAATACAGTGCATATTTGAATTAGAATTAAATTTTTAATTGAATGATGGAAAAGATTGAAAAATATGTAAT